GATCCTGGGGTCCAGGCTTGATCCAAGCTCCAGCCCTATACTGGGTGTACAGATTTCTTAAAAATCTTTAAAAACAAAAATAAAAATAAATAAAATAACATACCTAAGACTGCTACCCCTAAATCTGATCTCCAGGCCCTGGCCTAGTCCAGACCACTATTCTCACCCTGTGGCTATCTCCAAACCCAGCCGGTTCTCCCAGCACCCTACACCTTCCATCCCAGGTCCCCATGGGACACGTCCACCCCAAGACATCTCAGAATCAACCATGTCCAAAATTCAACTTATGATCCCTCTGAAACCTCCCTATCTGATTTCCATTTTCAAGACGTTCATGAAAAACAACAGAACAGCACAAATTAAAGACTTGGTTTTTCACTCCTCACTAACACTCACACCCACATCTGAAGCAGTAACTGCCGTTGGTTCTATCTTTAAAATCTATCCGGATTCTGACCACTTCCTCCCTCTCTGCTGGCACTACTCTGGTTCACCCACCCTCAGAACATTCTTGGTAGTTCGCTGCACCAGCCCACTCACGGGTCTCCAAGAATCCATTCACGCCCCAACCTAATCTGCTTTGCTCTGTGGAAAAACGTGGCTACTTTTTTAGTCCCCACTGACATCAAGTCCTTCTTCTACTCAAAATCCCTACAGCTCCCAGAGTCCTCACGAGAATACAACTTCTCAGGAAAGGCGTGCCTCCGCCTCACGCTCCGTCCCCTGAGGGCAGAGTCCTCCCGCCTCAGGCCCCCTTCAGCCCCCGCCCCGGCGGCCTCTCAGCCCGGAGCCCGCTCCCGCACGCAGCCCGCGCCCGCACGCAGCCCGACCGCGCTCACACACGCGCCCCGCCCACCCCCGACTCACTGTCCGGGACACCCGGGCCGGGGCCACAGGGCCGCGGGCAGGCGCCCCGCGCTCGGGCCTTCGGGGTCTGGGTGGGGGGGCGGCGGGGAGGGCCTGGGGGACGAGCGTTTACCTCAGCCGAGTCCCTGGGCGCGGCCGCCGCCATCCGACTCGGTGGAGGAAGCGGAGCCTGGAGCGGCCCGGGTCTAGGTCGGGGACGCAAACAAGTCTTGCCCCAGCCGCGGAGCCGCGGTGGGTGGACGTCGCCAACCCCGAGCCATCGACTAGTCTCTGTGAAACTGCGACGACCGTTCCACCTCCGGCCTGAACAAGCAATCAAAACCCCCGCCTTCAAGGCGCCTGGGTGGCTCAGTGGGTTAAAGCCTCTGCCTTCGGCTCAGGTCATGATCCCAGCGTGCTGGGATCAAGCCCCACATCAGGCTCTCTGCTCAGCGTGGAGCCTGCTTGCCTTCCTCTCTCTCTGCCTGCCTCTCTGTCTACTTGTGATCTCTGTCAGTCAAATAAATAAATAAAATCTTAAAAGAAAAAAAAATAAAAAAGGGAAAAAAAAAAACAAAAAACAACCCCGGCTTCAGTAGATCCTAGCAAAAAGCCACCAAACGTCCAACGCGGGGAGGATACCGGAAATCCCGCCCACCCGCCTTTCGCACTTACAGAAACGCCCCTCTCCCGGGCCTTCATTGGACTGCGGCGCTTAGGCTTTTGGGTAATGTAGTTCTCTAAGAGCTAAAACTCCAGGCTCGTGGCTCTGGGAGGAGGTTCCTGGGAAAGGCGAGGGACCACTGCGAAGGGCGTGGTCAGTGCTACACCCTACTTATTGCTGGAGGATGTGGTGGGACTTCTCTGCTCTGCCGGCTGGGATCCGGATTTCGTGAAGTATGCTCTGGACCAATCACAGACATGCTTGTAGACACATTATTTCATGTGTTCCCCAGAGTCACAAAATCAAATGCACACACACCACCACTAAGTCTTTCTCTGTCCAGTCATATCTGAGAGCTAATAACTATTACCTTGCTGGTTTTTAAATACATATAGAACGGAGCTTTAAGATCAGTTTTGCGAAATTTAGTTCTGGTTAGGGACGCCTAATTCCAGAGCCCAGAGGCGCCAGAGGACACTGGGAAACAGGTTCTATGTCCCAAGGGGGACTTAGCTCCTTCCGAAAGAGGCCGAACTTAGGTTTCTGGAGGGTCTGGCTGCAACTAAGCACCTATGTGGAGACATGTTTTTTTAGAGTCCAGGAAGCTCAGCATGCTCTCAGAAGCTAAACATATTCTTTCGGATGCTCCCAAAGGCTACAGATCCAAATGCACAAAGTTTTCCAGTTAGTCACAAAATGTGTCCACTGATAGAGGACATGAATAAAAATTACTGTACTGTAATTCAAATGCATGCGCTCTGAAGAATTAGAGCCAGTACTAGCAAACGAACCGTGTATGTACAGCGACAAGAAGGAAAGTACTCCCGATAGAGGCATGACAAGGAAGATGGAGGAAGATGTGCTACCCTGAAGCAAGAGTACAAATATGGATCTGTGTAACCTATGATGTTCAGTGTGGTGAGCTTTTATCCATTCACGTCTCTTATTCACTGTCCTTATATTCACTTCTTTTAAGATCTGACATTGATCTCAAAAGCAGAACAATGAAAGAAATACTATTTTGATACAGGACAATGTCTGCAGTGTCCACAGGTGGAGCATGCATGCGAAGTGTGCTCTGAATCCCCAAATGTAGGGGTATCGTAAACCCATGATCTCATCTCATTCCCGAAAAGTGGTTATCATTTCCTCTGTGATTACAGGCAGTATTCTGCATGAGGAATTGATATCTCAGAAAAAGTTGTAAAATGCAAATTATTGAAAGCTATTAATTTTTGTAACTATGTAAGGTAATGGATATTAACTAGAGTTGTTGTACCCATTTCACAGTGTATACAAATATGGAATCATTATGCTGTACACCTGAAACTAATATAATGTTATATGTCAATTATACCTCAATTTGTAAAAAGATTTTATATATTTGTCAGAGAGAGAAAGAGAACACAAGCAGAGGGAGCTGCAGGCAGAGGAAGAAGTTCAGCAGGCTCCCGCTGCGCGACAAACCCAATGAAGAACTGGATCTTGATCCAAGTCAAGCAGACGCCCAACAGACTGAGCCACCCAGGTGCCCCTGCTGTCCCCTGGGCCACCTGCCCCACACGTAACTCCTTCCTGGCTGCGCAACCAAGGCAAGTGCAAACTGTTGGCTGAAAGATTCTTTGGACCATCCCAATTCCTAATATATATCGCACTATTCCTTTGTCATGTTGTCTATTACAATTTTTGTTGTTATAATTTTTTTATTTTATGAAAGATGGAAACTGAAAGGAAGAGTCGGGAAGCCTGAGTCTGGCTTCAGTTCACCCTCAAATTAAACAAAATCTTTTTTTTTTTAACAGTTTGTTTGAGATATATTTCACATACCACAACATTTACTCTTTTAAAGAGTACAATCCAAGTGTGGTTTTTTTTTTTTAAGTATATTCACCAGGTTGTACAACCATCACAACTATCTAATTTTTAAACATTTTCCTTACCCCAAAAAGAAACCCCACACCTGGGGCACCTGGGTGGCTCAGTGGGTTAAAGCCGCTGCCTTCGGCTCAGGTCATGATCCTGGGGTCCTGGGATCGAGCCCCACATTGGGCTCTCTGCTCAGTGAGGAGCCTGCTTCCTCTTCTCTCTCTCTGCCTGCCTCTCTGCCTACTTGTGATCTCTGTCAAATAAATAAATAAAATCTTAAAAAAAAAAAAAAAAGAAACGCCACACCCATTAGCAGTCCTTCCCTTTTCTTCCCTCACCCAGTTCCTGGAACCACTTATCTACTTTCTGCCTCTATGGATTTGATTATTTTGGGCATTTTGGATAAATGAAATCAGAAAATTTGTGACCTCTGTGTCTAACATACTTCATTTAGCATAATTTTTTCAAGGTTTTTCTATGTCGTAGATGTATCGGTATTTCTTTTTTTTTTTATTATTATTTGACAGATAGAGATCACAAGTAGGCAGAAAGGCAGGCAGAGAGAGAGGAGGAAGCAGACTCCCCGCCGAGCAGAGAGCCCGATGCGGGGCTCGATCCCACGACGCTGGGATCATGACCTGAGCCGAAGGCAGAGGCTTTAACCCACTGAGCCACCCAGGCGCCCCTATTTCTATCTTTCTTATAGCTGAAGAATATTCCGTTATATGGATAGACACCCCCCCACTTTATCTTTTTGTCAGTTAATGGACTGCTGGGTTGTTGCCACCTTTTTGCTCTCATGAGTAACGCTGCTGTGAACATTTGTGCCCAGGTTTTTCTGTGTATGTGTGTTTTCGGTTCTTTTGGACCTAACCCTAAGAGTGGAACTGCTGGGTCATGTCGAGCCTCTCTGCTTCACTTTCTGAGGAACCATCAGACCGTTTCCAAAGCACTGACCTGTTTGGATTCAGTCTTGACTCCTGTATTCCCACAGCTCTCCGCAGCTCCCAGCTGACAGTGCCCACCACAACTGGCCACGCCTGACACCTCCTTACCTGCAGCCCCTTTTTCCTCACCGGATCCCAGATCCTTAAAAACAGGGATGATGTTAGTCCATTAGCTGCATGTTAGTCCAGTGTCAAATCTATTTGGATATTCTCACCTTTCCTGTGAGGAGAATGGGCACAAGGTACCGCAATTGACCGATAATATCCCTGGAAAAGTTTTGTATCATGAAAGTAGTTCCTTGGCTTGGCCTGAGAGACTGCCCAAAGAAATTGTTCGTGCTTCTGGTTAGGAGCAAGAAAAGAAAATCCTAAAAATCGTAAATAAATAATTTTGAAACAAAGGGGAAAAAATCCTGACAGTCTCTCTTTTGTACTCAGGAAGTTGGATTTTCTCTTTTCCAATATGTTATAATTATTAATGGACTATGAGAGCTAAGAAGCAAGACTCACTGCATATATGGATTTATTTTCGGTTATATACTTCTAGTTTTCTTCTTTAGAGTGCTCTGGACAGAGCTCTCGAGGAGTAAATCCTGCTCAGGTCCCCAGTCACGGCTCGTCCCTGCAGCTGTGGGCTTCACGCTGGCTAGCATGTCCTGCATCACTTTCATTTGCTCTCATAGATCCTCTGAGAATATACCGGGCATAGAATTCCCCATTATTGTTCCCTTTAATAAATTTTGCTCTTTCCTCAATCTCTTGTTTTCCATATGCTTTCTTCTTTTGGATCTAATAACTAAAATACAGATATAATGTTATTGAGGTACTAGTAAATGAGGAATAGACAAAAGGTGAAGGGAAAAGTAAAGGTACAAAGAATAGAATTTTCAAGATAAAATGAATGTTTTTCATCTGAAAAGCATGGTGAAAACTGAATTTAAAATTATTTAACCCCCCAATATAAAGTTATTTTCCCACATCTTATAAATGCTTTATAAATGCTCAGTTAAAAAAAATCATGTCGGCTGATGAATGGATAAAGATGTGATGTATAGGAGCGCCTGGGTGGCTCAGTGGGTTGAGCCCCTGCCTTCAGCTCAGGTCATGATCTCAGGGTCCTGGGATCGAGCCCCGCGTCGGGCTCTCTGCTCAGCACTGAGCCTGCTTCCTCCTCTCTCTGCCTGCCTCTCTGCCTACTTGTGATCTCTCTCTCTCTGTCAAATAAAAAAAATCTTTAAAAAAAAAAAGATGTGATGTATATACACAAAGGAATATTACTCAGCTATAAAAAAATGAAATCTTGTCATTTGTAATGACATGGATGGAGCTAGAGAGTGTTATGCTAAGTGAATTAAGTCTGTCAGAGAAAGACAAATATCATATGATTTTACTCATATGTGGAATTTAAGAAACAAATGAGCAAAGAGGGAAAAGAGAGAGAGAGAGAATTTATCCAAGAAACAGACCCTTAACCATAGAGAGCAAACAGATGGCTACCAGGAGGAGGGGGGGGCGGTTAAGGAGCTCACTTGCTGGGACGAGCATTGGGTGTCATATGGAAGTGCCGAATCACTATATTGTACACTTGAAACTAATAGCACCCTGTATGTTAACTTTAAAAAAAAATACAGAAAAGCTATACTTCAAGGTAAGGAAAAGACATTGAAAAAGTATTTCCTAAGGGTAAACAAGGGCATTGGTGTCAGTAAGCATCACTGATCACTGCACTCCTGGCCTTCCGGCCTGTCTCTGACTCCTGTGTCTCGGGTTGTGAGAGAGGAGATCCACACAACCGAAGACTGGCACGGCTGAATCAGACAGTGCACTTGAAATATTTTGGCTCTATAATTTTTGTTAAGAGGCTATCTCAGAGCTCCTACAAAATCAGGTTTATGTGAGCACATATGCTGCCTTCTCCTCACAAAGATTTGCGGGCATGGTGAGCACCTCTCCTACAAGCGTCCATTCTGGGGGTCTGGATCCTGTTCCCACATCAGATGGAGGCAGACTGTGCAAGAGAGACATATGTCTCCCTGTGTTCTAGACTCGGGAACAGTGCCACCCTGAGAAGTGTGTTTAAAGGAAGATTTAGTCTGGGGGAAGTTTGGTCTCCTGAACTCTGCTCTTGGTCCTTGGAATTGCCCCACAAAAGGAACCAAGCAACCCAAGGCTGTTTTCCCCTCTGTGCAGTTTGATGAGAACACTTCGTTTCTGCAGATGTGGCTGTAAATATTGACCTCCATTACCTCAAACTCCACTGAATCCCTCCTCGCTTTGCCTCTGCAAACCAAACCGTCAGGGCCCGCTCAGCTTTTACATCTGGCAGGACAAACTGGCCCGGCATTTACCTGAGTGAATGAACTTCTCCAGCTCCTCTTCATTCTCTGGAAGCAGGTAGGCGGACTCATCCAGGCTCTCGCTCTCAGAGTCCTCACCCACATTGTCGTCGTCGTCGTCTCCCAGGAATGGTACGCTGACGTTGTTATAAAGCCACACCAGTTGCTGTCTTTCCTCCGCGTGCACCAGCCGACTGGAGAAGAATGTGCATGAGCTTAAGAGCGCAGCTTTCACGGGGAATCATTCTACCTTAATCATGCGACTTTTGCCTGAAAAGCAATCACTGTACCTGGCGGTAGGCGCGGGAAGGAGGCAATTACCGCTCTCCAGTGTGTGCTGACAGGCAGGAGAGGATGTAGCTCAGGGCCAAGACTAGGTGAGGTGAATAAGGAACTCATGTGGAGTACAAGAGAATATAATAATATCTTCTTTTTAAACTACATAATATCTTAATGCAACATTTTACAAAAGAAAAAAGAACGCCAAGAAATCCATGACGAACAAAATACCAACATTTTAAATAAAGTCCAGGCAGGTATTACTGATTCTTCCTTTTGCTCGCTCTCCGGTATGGCTTGGCACAACACTATTACTGATCCTGTATTTAAAATGTTGGCATTTTGTTCATCATGGATATTTTTTGAAATAATTGTGGATTTTATATTGCATTAAATATTGCATTAAAACATCATTCATCTTGATGACTGAGTGTTTTGGCACCCTCTTAAATTTTGTATCTGAGGTGAGTGCCTTGCTCACTCCACCAGGTCCAGCCCGGAAAGTGGATTTTTCAGTAGCTATCTCTGTTTGATGTGAAAAGGAGTAACAGAATGCTTTCCTCTTTCCTAACATACATACCCTCCTAATCGTTTGATGTATGTAATTAGGAAGATCCTAAACATTGTTAACAGTAATTACCCAAATCCTGGTCTCCAATGTCTTGATTACAGTTGCAAAATTTAGGTTGTGTCAAAAAAATCAGGAATGATGGTAAGTATTTTAGCTCAATATTTTAACAAATTGAAATGAGTGGGAAAAAATCTGTAATAAACCAAATATCAAAATTTCAAATAAACAAAGGAACCAACAGTGCTGTGTGAACCATATGGGAACCTAAGTCAAAAAAAAAAAAAAAAAGGTGAATCCCTATGTACATGTTTTTGTGTAATTTTTAAAAGATTTATTTATTTAGGGTGCCTCAGTGGCTCAGTCAGTTAACTTTTGCATCGACATGAATGGAACTGGAGGGGAATATGCTGAGTGAAGTAAGTCAAGCAGAGAAAGACAATTACCATATGGTTTCACTTATATGTGGAACATAAGGAATAGCACAGAGGACATTAGGGGAAGGAAGGGAAAACTGAAAGGGGGAATCAGAGGGGGAGATGAACCATGAGACACTATGGACTCTGGGAAATAATCTGAGGGTTTCAGAGCGGGGAGGGGTGGGCAGGGTTGCCTGCTGATGGGTATCAGGAGGGCATGTGTTGTAATGAGCACTGGGTGTTATACACAAACAACAGATCATGGAACACCACATCAAAAACTAATGATGTACTGTATGGTGACCAAAATAACAAATTAAAAAATAAATAAAATTTTAAAAAAATTTTTAAATTTTTGGGGCACCCAGTTGGCTCAGCTGGTTAAGCAGCTGCCTGCAGCTCAGGTCATGATTCCAGGGTCCTGGGATCAAGCCCTGCATTGGGCTCTCTGCTCGGCAGGGGGCCTGCCTCCCCCCTCTCCCTCTGCCTGATGCTCTACCTACTTGTGCTCTGTCTGTGTCAAATAAATAAATAAAATCTTTAAAATTTTTTTAATTTTTAAATAATCAGCATTTGCATTAAAAAATATGCTTTTCAATATTTTCTATCCTACTAAAATTGTATTCTGTCCTATTTGTTTTTTTCTTCATTTGCATTGTGACCCAACATGAGTACAGTCCATATTCTGAAAAACACAGGTGTGGAGGTTTAGAATGACAGTAATAATTTAGTGATTGTAAGAATTAGCAGCAGCAGCATTACTAAATAATAACCTGGTTAGTTTGTTATGTCTTACTTGAGGTTGGTAATGTTACTTAGTAAATACTTACTATATCACATAGGAAATAACGATTCCACATACCAGGGCAATGGTAAAAGCTACACACGCAATTATAATTACTTGAACAAGAGCAGGTCTGTGTGAAATCAGTGCTAAAAATGGAAAGAACAGTTCACATAAAATTTCATTTCACTTGTGTCTATCAATTAATATATTTGTTAATCATATTGTTATTTCAAAGGGGGATGGGACACAAAATCCAAAGTACCATAAAAAATAGCATCCTTAATTTTAAAAAAATATGGAGGCTTGGGGCGCCTGGGTGGCTCAGTGGGTTAAAGCCTCTGCCATCAGCTCAGGTCGTGGTCCCAGGGTCCTGGGATGGAGCCCCATCGGGCTCTCTGCCCAGCAGGGAGCCTGCCTCCTCCTCTCTCTCTCTCTGCTGCCTCTCTGCCTACTTGTGATTTGTCTGTCAAATAAATAAACAAAATCTTTTAAAAATAAATAAATAAATAAGTAAATAAATAATGTGGAGGCTAGATCTCATGGCCTATGTGAACAAATACACTTTGAATTCCCATGGAAAGGAATCCCCAACTCCATTTGCCTCCTCTGCCTCTGGTCCTTTGCCAAAGCCCGCTCTCACTCTGTAGGGATGCTGCAGAGATCACAGGATCCCTGACTCGGTCTAGCAGCACCTGCCAGCTCTGTGGCTTCAAGGACAGCGGCTTTAGTTTGGTGACTCAGGTGTCGCACGGATGGCCTCAGGGTGTGCGGTGCTGTGCTGAGAGGGTGTTAGAGACTGAGAACGCCATTGCCCCAACCTGCATGCCAGGTCTCAGCGCTCGCGGGCGTCGGATGTGCTCTGAGATTCCGGCGGCTCTTGCTGCGGTCAGGTGGACGACTCTCCCCACCGCCTGAGACGACAGAAGAGTTACCGTTCGCACAAACTGAACAAAACAGCAACTCCGGGGCGAGTACGCTCCTCGGCGGCTTGTAAAACCTCACACACCGCGGTGATTACTCTTCACCTGCACTTGGCCGTCCCACCCCCGTCCCTTCCACGGCACAGAAAGTTCAGCAACTGAACGAAAAACGCCCTGAGCTTCACGCCTCAGTGAAAGCTCAGCCGAACAGGGCGGAAAGAATGTGGGCTGCGAAAGGGCTAGCGGTGTCTTTGGTGTTGAGGAGAGATGAGGACAGCTCCCAGGAGGGCTAAGGGATCGGGAGATGGGTTTTACTTTCTAAGATGGGAGAACGGACAGCACGTTCATAGGAGGACGGGACTGATATTTAAACCGTGATATTTAAACTACAGGAAATGAGGAGGGACTTGTCACCTGTGCCTGTGCCAGTCCGGGGAGATGGACGGTGGCGCACTGGCTGGGGCCATCCTTGGCCTGGAAAGGAAGGAAGGCAGAGAAAGAGGGTGAGGTTGCAGGTGGATGGGGAGGGGGATGCAGATACTCTCTTTTGACTGCTTGGATTTTGCCAGTGATGGAGGAAACAAGGCCACCCATCAAAGTGAGCCTGAGGTAATCATGTTGGGGGTCTTCTAGAGCAAGAAAAATTGATGTGAAAGTCCCCAGCAGAACAGGAGAGTAGGTGGGTTAGGGAAATGAGAAACATACTTATATATATATATACATATATATATATGTGATATATATATGATATATATATTAAGTAAATTTAAAGATTTATTTATTTATTTTAGAAAGAGAAAGAGAGAGTGTGAGGAGGAGGGGCAGAGGGAGAGAGAGAATCTCCAGCAGACTCCCTGCTGAGTGCAGAGCCCAAAATAGGGCTTGGATCTTAAGACGCTGAGATCAAACCTGAGCCAAAACCAAGAGTCAGATGCTTAACTAACTGTACCACCCAAGTACCTCAAGAAACTTTTTTTTTAAAGATTTTATTTATTTATTTGACAGACAGAGATCACAAGCAGGCAGAGAGGCAGGCAGAGAGAGAGGGGTGAAGCAGTCTCCCTGCTGAGCAGAGAGCCCGATGTGGGGCTTGATCCCAGGATCCTCGGATCATGACCTGAGCTGAAGGCAGAGGCTTTAACCCACTGAGCCACCCAGGCGCCCCAAGAAACATATTTTTTAGTAGTTTCCTAGAAATGAAATTTCTGTCTATATTGACTATATTTTCTTATTTTCTGTAATTTTTAAGGCATTTTATTTTTAAGTAATCTCTGCACCCAACGTGGGGCTCGAACTCACAATCCTGAGACCAAGAGATGCACACTCCACTGACTAAACCAGGCTTTCCTATTTTCTGTATTTTTGATGTTTTCACATCTGAGGTTTTGCTCCTAGACAGACCGTCCCTCCCAGGGTTAGCTATTTCCTAAAGTTCATGGACACCTCCCCTCTGAGCATGCCTTTGATATAAACCAACCAATCCAGAGCCCACAGCCCCAACTACCTCTCACACACCAAGCCAATGTTCCCCCTACCCTAAATATTCCCAGGGCCAACTGGAATGCTGGACAACTAGAAACCACTCCTATAGCCCAGAGCCCACTGAAATCACTCCAACTATCCACTATTCTGTGTCCCTACCCCACTTCACTCTTTCTTTCCCATGAAAACACCAATAAGGACTCTGAGCCATGCTCCTCCCTCTTGCCCTGCTTCTAGGAATCTGTGAATATAATGTTCTTCCATCATGAACAATCATTTCTGTGTCTGTATGTCTTATCATACCTGATTAAAATAAATCCTAGGCATATTTCAGTACTCTGAGCCAAAAAGTAAATACATTCTTTTTGTATTTATAAGGATTGCCAATTGCCCTCTGTAGAAGTTGCACTCTTTCCTTGCCTACACACAAGATATGAGATTATATACACTTGAAACTAATAGGATGTTATACATTCATTATACTTCAGTTTTAAAAAATGTGAGAGGGGTGCCTGGGTGGCTCAATGGGTTAAGCCGCTGCCTTCGGCTCAGGTCATGATCCCAGGTCCTGGGTTCAACCCCACATCGGGCTTTCTGATCAGCAGGGAGCCTGCTTCCTCCTCTCTCTCTGCCTGCCTCTCTGCCTACTTGTGATTTCTCTCTGTCAAATAAATAAATAAAATCTTTTAAAAAAATAAAATAAAAAATAAAAAATGTGAGATTGAGGCACCTGGGTGGCTCAGTCGTTTAAGAGTCCAACTCTTGATTTTGGCGCAGGTCTTGATCTCAGGGTATGAACTGAAGCCCTGTGTTGGGCTCCACACTGGGCGTGGAGCCTACTTAAAAAAAAAAAAAAAAAAAAGCAAGAGATTATATTTCCCAACTCTTTTGCCAGTTTTCTTAATGAAACATTTGTCCACTCTCAACATGATAGCTGAAAATTGGAATGAGTATTTCCCTTATTATGAGTTAGGCATCTTTTCATATAACCAAGAGCTAAGGGTTATAGAGAAAATTGGGAGTCTTCCAATGATCTAAAACAATTCTGTCCTCTAACTCCATATTAGAACCTGCACTTGGGACCCAAAGCTCAGACGCACCAGAGGTCTCAGCAAACCTCTAGTGCAAGCTCATAACACCAGTTAGTTTCAAAGTAAAGATTAAAATGCAGGTCTCCTGATACCTTGGCAAGAATTCAATCTCTGGGCTTTGGCAGTAGGGGATGAACAGGCAAGTGAGGTATTCATAGCTGAGCTTTAGAAAAGTTCCTAATGTGTTTGGAAGGGCTGCTGTATTGTTTTTAAGATTTTCTGTATTTTGGGCCAGCTGGGTGGCTCAGTCATTAAGCATCTACCTTCAGCTCAGGTCATGATCCCTAGGTCCTGGGATCAAGCCTCACATCAGGCTCCCTGCTCGGCGGGAGGCCTACTTCTCCCTCTCCCTCTCAGCCTGCTTGTGTTCCCTGTCTTGCTGTCTCTGTCTCTGTCTCTCTCTCTCTCTGTCAGTTAAATAAATAAATTAAATGTTTAAAAAAAAGTCTGTATTTCCTGATGCTTGGACATCTGTGCTATTTTTCTGTTCTGAGTGGCATCATAACTAAACCAACCATCCATAGGGCACTCCTTTTTCTGATTTGCAGAAAGTGCTGTACAGATTAGTGATGACCACTGTGGGGTGCCCTCTGGAGCCATATACCGCAGCAGCTCTGGGAATGTTCCTGGATCCCAGCCTCCATCCCAGATCCCTTGACTTACCGTTATGCCCTGGGAATTGCTTGGGCATAATAGGTCTTGGAGCTAGAAGGCCGTTCAAAGGGATCAGAGAGAAGAGACAAATTTAAGACAGATTTAGGAAAATAAAGAAATAACTTGGTATTAGACAAGGGGACCTAATAGCTAAGAAGGTAAATACTGTTAATAAATTTATTACAATGCCTCAAAGAAATATGTGGCTTAAACTGCAATTTGTTCTGTTTGTATCCAGCATTTCCTTTCATGAATATGGGGGGTTAAGGACATAATGCATTTGGTTTCTGGTCTGTTTTTGCGGTGACATGAGCTGGTTGAGGACCTGACAGATTTGAAGGGATCTGTGCTGTCATCGGAAGGTCAGAGAGCCAGGGCCAGGGAGGGGCCCATGGCAATATCCTTTCCTCCTACAGAATTACAAGCTATTATATTGTGCAGATAGCATTTCCCTTGTACAGAATAGAAGTTGTTTATAAGTACCGTGTCTCTTCACAAAGAGTTACTGCCTGGTTCACCAATTGTCAGGGTCAGTTTCTCTGTTTTGAGATAAACAGAGTTTTAGGACCTAAATGCAAAGCATAGAAGACAGATAATTATAAAGAACGTTTTATGCTTGCTGTATCTGGATTCCTATGGTCTACCACCAGAATGTGCCCCCACATTACAATTAAAGCCATACAGACACATTCAAATGATCCTGAGGCAGGCAAAGTCTCTGTGTGTGCTGAGTGAAATGAAAGAGAGGCACAGTAATCCCTGAAAAGAAAGCACAGCTTACCAAGAGAGAATAATATCGGACTAATTTTCAAGCAATGCTTATCTAATTATATTACTGTATGGCGCATGCTCCTAGCAAATACACAAGACAAGACACATTCATACAGTGAATAGGATGACCCCAGACTATGGTTCCCATTTCACCGAATGAGTAACACAGTGACTTACCTCTGAGTCTTGAGAAAACACCTTCCTGCTTAGTGACATTTGTGGATGTTTGTGACTGTTTGTAGCCTTGAAAAGAAAACTTGTAGCAGTGAAATATAATTACCCCTTCTTATTTCCCCTGAAACAAGTAAAAACAACAGTTGAAGTTACCCATTAAGTCTGTTGCTAGATCAACTGGTTGGAACTCACCTCCATAAGGCAAGCATAGAAGAAGTGGGCATTCCATTAAAAACAGAACTAGAAAGGTGAAAGAACTTTGAACTTTGTCCATCACTCCAAAACTGTTAGTCTTTTAGCATACGGACAAAAGGATATATTTAGCTATAGAATAGTATCTGCCCTGTATTTATGAGGAACTAAGAAACTCTGCTCCCTACAGAATGTTTGGGTTCTGACCTGGAGCCACCAGTGTGAGGTCAGCTCACGTTGCCACATGGACTTCCTCCACGGAACCAGGTCAAACAATGGGGATACTAACAGGATGGCGCATGGGGAGAGGCTCATCTGTGGAGAACAGAACCAGGGCCCCGCCCTCAGGGAGTGTACAGACCAGTGAGGAGGCAGCAAAGATCATTGAAAATTCAATGGGACACACCAGAAGCCAACAGAGAACACAGTAGGGCTGTGTAGTCAAAAGCCTGAATTCTAGTCCGAGTCTCTGGCTTCCTAGACCTTCCTGCTTGATCAGGTAACTTAAGCCTTGGGTTTCAGCTTCCTCATCTGTAAAAACAGGAGAAAGAAATAGCACCTACCTCACAGGACTATAGCAATGTCTGAATAATGTAATCCATGCAAAGCTCAAAAAGTGCTGGCACTGAGTGTTAGTTCTTGCTGGAAAACGGGAGAGCGTCTGCAAAAAAGCAATTCAGTATACCTCCACCCTTTAGGTACTGTTCAGAACCACAGACCCCTTTGGCTGCCTCCAGCAATTTCTTTAAAGGAGATTAATTGAATCATGGCAAAATGTGGAAATGGAATTGAAAATACATAGAAGATTGTCCCTTGTACATGTCCTTTGTCAATCCAGTAGTTCTCAAAATACCCAAGGCAAGTTTTGACTCACCTCTACCAATAACAATAGCAGACCAGATCTTCGGATGCTTGTGAAGCCCCCTGGGATTAGAAACTGGTTCCACGTGCACTGTACCAAAAGGCGAGCTAGCCTTTCTTTCTTTTTTTAGATTTATTTATTTATTTTAGAGAGGAGGGGAAGGGGCAGAGGAAGCGGGAGAAAGAGTCTTAAGCAGATGCTGTGCTGAGCACATAGCCCGACTTGGGCTCAATCTCATGACCCTGAAATCACAACTTGAGAGGAAACCAAGGGTCGGATGCTTAACTGACTGCACCACCCACGTGCCCTGCAACTATCCTTTCTGAATGTTTGTGAGATAACAAGCCTAAAACCCTCTAGATAGCTATATCCATGCAGTGGACTATCGCCAGCTTCTTGCTTTATTCTTACAACACCTTAATTCCCATTCCTGTCCATAGCCTGATCCATATACAACACCCTAATTCCCATTCCTGTCTTCCTTCCATCCAGCTATACCTGGGGGATGATCCATATAAGAACTTGGCTCCCATTCTCTTTCTATGTTCTGCAATCCAGAATTGCCATTCGGATCCATCTGGACAAGTTCATCTGCTATGTCTCTTTGGAGTTTTTGTTGTTGTTGTTGTTGTTAAGGAAGTTCCATGCCCAGCACGGAGTCCAAACAGGGTCTGATCTCATGACCCTGAGATCAAGACCCGAGCCAAGAAAAACAGTCAGAAGTGAGCCACCAAGGTGCCCCTTTGGGCTTGTTTTTGGACTGTTAATTACCCTATGGGCACTGCTCCTGCTAGACTTGACTTTGGACTGTCAGGATCCCCATGGACACTGCTTTCTCTGGAGTTGGTTTTAGGATATCAACTTCCCAATGGTTACTACTGCTTTGCCCAGTCCTTTCCCTTAGATCTCTGGACACCTGGCTCTTCAAGACCTGTTCCTGAATTGACTCATATATTCCATGCACCCCGCCCAGCTGGATGAATTGTGCCAATCCATCAGAATACCACTGTGGGTTGGGTTAATGATACTGACAGATGTGTAGATCAGATCAAGCTATGAAGATTAGGCCAAGAGATAAAAGTCTTCCATAACATAACCAAAACCTTCTAACAGATTCCCTTAAATCCAGCGTGCCCAACCTGTTCTCTTGGCTTTCTCCCACAGAGTGGGGTGCCTGGTTTAGAACTGGGTCTCAGACCCTTGGCATATGCCTAATAGGAGTCTTCCTAGTTTTTCCCTTTATCAAAGTTTGCCAATCCCAATCACCTTTAACCTGGGTGGCAAGCGTTATCCATCCCAATTAGTATTTTTTTAAAGATTTATTTATTTATTTATTTGACAGAGAGAGATCACAAGTAGGCAGAGAGGCAGACAGAGAGAGAGAAAGGGAAGCAGGCTCCCCGCCAAGCAGAGAGCCCGATGCGGGACTCAATCCCAGGACCCTGAGATCATGACCCAAGCCAAAGGCAGCGGCTTAACCCACTGAGCCACCCAGGCACCCACCCAATTAGTATTTTTAATGATGTTGAGACACCGCAAAGTAGATTATAATTTTTACAGTTCTAATTGACATAATATTGTATTAGTTTCAGGTGTACAATGATTTGATATTTGTAGATACTGCAAAATGATCACCACAATAAGTCCAGTTAACTTCTATTACCATACAGTTAACAAAATTTTTTTTCTTGTGATGAGAACTTTTAAGATCCACTTTCTTAGCAACTATAGCATTAAATATGCAATATAATATTAACTTCAGTCACTATGCTGTACATTACATCCCAATGATGTATTCATTTTATAACTGGAAGTTTGTACCTTTTTAGCCCCTTCACCCATTTCGCCATACTGTAAATTTTAAAACTTTATATTTTTCTGCTCCCTAAACACCCACGCAAATAGGCCATGAGCACCCCACTCAGATGACCAGGTTCCCTAAACGTTAAGACTGGTCCCTGCCTCAAGTGTTCTCCTTTGCCCTCCCCGAATATGTCCTATCAACATTCAAATGTATCAACGACATCCTCTCCCACTTATTCTTGTGTTCTCCATTCTGACCCCAAATAAAAGTACTTTCCCATGGATACTTACCTTCTGTGCCTACCTTCTTGACTGAGCTCGTTCGCTAGGTGCCCATGATGAGCAGCCCCTCATGGGGTACAGTTGACTCCTGGTGTTATAATCCTATGGGTTTTGACAAATGTATCATGACACGTATCCAATCTTTTAGTAGTACACAGCATAATTTTTGAGCCGCGCTACTCCAAAACTCCTTCATACCGCACCTCTTCATCTCTTCCTCCACCCTCTCCCGGACAATCACCAATCTTCTTACTGTTTCTATAATTTTGCCTTTTACAAAATCTCATATAGTTGGACTCATATAATTTGAAGCCTTTTCAGATTGGCTTCTTTCACTTAGTAATATGTATTTGAAGTCCTCCCATGTCTTTTTCATAGCTCATTTCTTTTTAAAAGCTATTATTTTGTGGTTTTAAAAAAAAGATTTTATTTACTTATTTGACAGAGAGATAGAGTGCACAGGTAGGCAGAGTGGCAGCCAGAGGGAGAGGGAGAAGCAGGCTCTCCACTGAGCAGGGAGCCCGATTCAGGGCTCTATCCCAGGACCCTGAGACCATGACCTGAGCCAAAAGCAGAGGCTTAACCCACTGAGCCACCCAGGTGCCCCTAAAAGCTATTATTCTGGATAATTAGTTTGGATGTTCTTAAATTTGCAGTTTAATTTAATGAAAACTCACATTTCTACCTTATTGGGTCTACTCATGCAAGAAGCACTTGTATCTCTTAATCCTTCACATTTTCATTTATAGCTTGTGAAAACGTATGTAAATATATTGCCATAGGATTTTCTTTCATTTTCCCCTCAACATTAAAACGTTTGTGTGTTTACAAAACGGAATTTCCCCTTCATATAGCCCACCTGCGGCTGGCAGATAAGCCGACCTGTTCCAGTATTTGCAAACCACCATCGTGGCTAGTCCTCGCAGGGACAACGAGGGGCCCACCAGCCCTCGAACTTTCACGCCCGCACCTGGAGATCTGAGCACGGCCCACCAGGCCAGCCCGCGATCACTTCCGCAGCCCTGGAGCGACCACCTGCGGACTAAGGGGAAAAGAGGACCCTCCCCGCGCACTTTCAACCGGGGAAGCAGGGCCCTGGGCCTTCCGCGCGACGGCGCCCGAGCCTCCGGAGCCGGAGCTGGTGGACTACAAGCCCCAGAAGGCCGCGCGGCCCGACTGCGTCTCCTAGGTAACCGAGTTGTGCTGGCCGCGAACCGCGCCCACCCCGCTGCGGGGCGGGTGGACCGACCGCGGCCCCCGCGCGCTCCCGCGCGCCCCCGCTGCCGGGCGGCCTGTGGGCACCTGCCCCGGCGCCCTGGCGCGAGGTGAACCCGGGTCGGGGCCGGAGCCAGAATCCGTCCCGCGGCAGAGCGGGGCGGCGGGACGAGCGGGCGCGACGTCTAGGCGGGAAGGGCTGGCGGGTCCGGGAGGCGCGAGGAGGCCGCTCAGGTTCTGCGAGAGACTAGGCGGTGTCGTCGGCGGTGCGGAAGGTCCGGCCGGAGGCTCCGCTCCAGGGTGAGGCTGCGCGCGCGGACTGTCGGGTTGTCTGGTCCGGGGCTCCCTGGGGGCGATCCCCGCTGTCCGCGTCCCCGGAGGCCGAACTAGCCGGGAGAAGCCCCAGCACGCGCGAAGCTCCCCCGGCCCTTCTGGCAAGGACAGAGTTCCCGCGGCTTCCGCTGGCCGTTGTCCTCCTGTTGCCTTGGCCGTTTCCTCAGTGGAAGGGTCAAGCTGTTAGGCCGGTAACGTAAGCCGGGTCCAAGCTTCTCGGCCAGGGCCAGGATCTTCTGCCGCTTTTGCGCTTCTCTTGGCCTTCGGTACTTCCACGCCGACGGTCTCGCTTTGGGGGCCTTGTCTGCAGGCGCAGGTGGAAGTGTTTCATGGCTTCTCTCCACAGCCTCGGCCTCACGCTGGGCGGGGCCGCCAGCAGCCCCCTCGCGTGCCTTCCTGTCCCAGTTGTCTCCATCAGCCCTTCCCCCAGGCGGTAGCCACAGGGGACTTTGTAAACACAGAATCATTCTGTCCTTCCTGATCAGAGCTGCTTGGGGGTTCCCAGAGCCCCGAAAGTATCATTCCAATGATATGCTGCAAGGGAAACACAGCTTTCACACGTGGGTTTGGAAATGATGTCCAGAATT